TCAATCAATCATATAGAAACAGACTATTATGATTGCACTCGCGTATAATTGTGTGTCAGTCCAGCCCTCATCTGTGTGTCTTGTGTGTTCTGTCTTCAGAAAGTTGGGCGGGGCATTTGGCTCCTCGCCATGTTGAAGATCTGCCCCGCCTTCCTGGCAAAGTTCCTGGTCTACACCGGTCTGACCAAACGTCTGTCTTACTTCTTCAAAATGGCCTCCCGCAGCGTGACAGAAGTAGTCAATGAACTGACAGAGAATGAGGATCTCAAGGCCGTCTTCACCTACATCTATGGCACCTATGGTAGGCCAAGCCACAGTCCTAATGGCTTAATAGATGTATTCTTTAGTATTCTGCTTATCGCCTTTGTTTATTTCTCTGACCTGCAGGTAACATGCCAAAAGATACCAGTTTCTCTATGCACAGCCTGCTGGTGACTCACTACCTGAACGGTGCCTGGTACCCAAAAGGCGGAGCCAGTGAAATTGCCTACCACATGATCCCCATCATTGAGAAGGCTGGTGGTGCGGTTCTAGTCCGAGCTCCAGTCAACCGCATCCTGTTCAATGACGCCAAGGAGGCTTATGGTGGGTGTGATTTCCTCAGTGTTTCAATACATAATCCCAGCACGCAGCTCCAGCTGATCAGAGATTCACTGCTGTTTTTTTTCATGCTTTTAGGTGTGAGCGTCATGAAAGGCCAGGAGGAAATACATATCCGCGCCCCCATGGTCATCTCTAATGCTGGCATCTTCAACACCTACGAGAAGCTGCTGCCCAAAGAGCTCCAGGCCATGCCAGGTAGGGAATACATGCTTCAACTAATGATTATTTTCAGTTTCTACTTAACATTTATTCATTAACAATGATTGTTTTATTATCAGTTAATCCTTTAGTCTAGAAAATGCCAAGGTGACAACATCAATATATACTTTCTTTTTTTGGTCTGCCAAAAATCCCAAATGACTCAATTCAAATGACATAAAACCGAGAATAGCAGCACATCTTACGAGAGACTGGAGTTTGTTTCCATGATGGATAAGTTGAGCAATAATTTCAGTGTGAGCTGCAAAAGGTATGGTTCAGTTTTCTCCCTTTACTCAATGACTCGCGGCTTGTTTCCACCTAGCTCTGTGCATGTAAGTCAAGCGTAAGGTAATTCATTCTTAAACATTTACCATTTTTATATATTTTTTTCGGAGTTTGCAAAGTACGGTGAGATTTGTTTCATTTTGCAGCTGATTTCAGACCGTCTGTATGATCTGTATGCTGTTGTGGAACGTGTTAATTAGCCATCAAGTTATTAAATTTAATTTAATCAATTGCTTATGTTATCCAAATTGTGTAATTGATCATTTAAAATAAGCTAGTCCAGCTAGTTTACATATAGTAAATTAAAAAATGTATGGTTAGCTACACCACTGATTTTGAAGTTGAATAAAAGTAGGAGAATTCCTTATTACATTCATATAGTACATTCATTGCACTATTGGACCTATTACTGTCTCGGCAATGCTCCTGGAGCGTATCCTATAATATCGGACAGCAAAAATCACATAAAATAAATTGTTTTCCCATCCCTGCAATGGCGTTTTTCTCCATCAGTAAAAAATAAGCATTTCCCTGCTTAGGGCACTTTGTTCCTACTGGCTCAAAATTGTATGGAAACAATCCTTCCCACATATAGATAACATTTGTATGTTACTTATCTCTGAGCTGTTGATAAAGTTGTACTGTATGATGTGGATCTCCTATATATGCTTTAAAACCCTGCTCCTTATCTGTAGATATAACCTGCCAGCACCTTTTCTTTCTACAGTATACTGTAACCCACACAAGTTTATGTACTGTAACCTCACCTGCAGCATATCTACTCTGTGAACTTCATGATTAGATGCAAACTGCATTATTGTGCAATGTCAATTAAGTTTAATCTGATCCTTTCATCCAGCCATCCAACAGCAGCTGGGTATGATGAAGAACGGTGAAGGAGGCCTGAGTATTTTTCTGGGTCTTGAAGGAACTAAGGAGGATCTGGGCCTCAAGGCAGACAACTACTGGATCTTTACCGAGAACAATTTTGATGAACTGTATGTTGACTTTTGATTTTCATTATAATAATTTTGAGGAATAGCCAAACACAGACCTGGCAACTTAAAAGCTTCTATTTTATTTAGTTTGTAAGGACAGTATTTTATTTAGTTTTTGAAGTCATGGCAACTTTAACACAAACTGCATCTCAAAATCCCTAATTTATTTTTTCTAAAACTTCACATGGGCTTTGATTTTATGTAAAACACTGTCTGAAAGAAACATGAAGATATACTACACATGGAGATTTAAGTCACATACTTGTACTTTCTTTACTATTAGAAGATATCTTCATTTAGATATGTAAAGTAAGAACGGAATAGGTCTACTTCAGCTATTTTGTATCTGTGTGAATTCACCAGAACTACATCATTTCCTTTACAGGACGGAGACATATTTGAATGGAAAGAGGGAAGAATCAGCTAAAAGTGTACCACTTCTGTTTGTTGCGTCTCCATCGGCTAAAGATTCGACCTGGGAGGAAAGATCACCAGGTACAGAGGCTGTGATGCAGTGTGTCAGTCTTTCCGTTTTTACAGTGAAACTATGTTAATGCACGATTCAGAATGATTGATGTATAAAACAAAACATATCTTTAATCAGAACTTACTTATTGTTGTCTCATAGTGTCATTAAAACCAACACTAATCCATTTAGTTAAAAGAGCGATAAGATTTGTAAAATGTTTGGATTATTGCGAACGTATTGACACACTATTTATTAATTTCCAATGCTTTACAATTCTCTGGTATAGTTGATCTTAAACTGCACAGATAAAGTGCATAGGTTGTTTAAAATCAGAAGGGTCTAGTATGACTTAGGGGAATACACCCGCTTGAAAGAAAACTTTTATCTCAAATATTCTCATTTCTTTCATCACATTAGGGAAGTCCACCTTGAGTCTGGTCAGTTTTGCAAAGTACGAGTGGTTTGAGGAGTGGAAGGATGACAAAGTGAACAACAGAGCGCCTGAATACAAAGAGCTGAAACAGATATTCATTGACTCGATTCTGGAGGTGCTGATGGATATCTTCCCCAAGATAACCAGAGACAAGGTATTTTTTATGAATCTGTCCCTTTATATTATGGAGATTATTGCAAACGGTATTCTCTGTAGGCTTTCACTCTCTTTGGTACAGTATGCACTTCTACAATTTGTCTGCATTAAGTATTTTACTTTAAAGTATTATTTTTCCTAATTATAACACCACCATTGTCTGAAACTAGGAATTCATATGCCTGTTTTCTTTTGGTATAGATTGAGTACATCGACGCTGGCACTCCCATTACAAACACACACTACATCGGATCCCCCAAAGGTGAAATCTACGGAGCGGATCACGGCATCGCCCGATTCAGCCCTGAACTCAACGCTACAGTGCGACCTCAAACTCCTCTGAAGAACCTCTATCTGACAGGTGAGCCCATCCGTGCAGCACAGTATCATCAGAGGTCACCTGTAATTCCTCACAACACTTTACAGTATCATCCTAATGAGTTATTTACATTTTGTGTTGCAGGTCAGGATGTGTTTCTGTGTGGCTTTGCTGGCGCTCTTGCAGGAGCTCTCACCTGCGGCTCCGTCATTCTCAACCGCAACCTCCATCTAGATGCCATCTCTTTGGCAAAGAAAATTAAATATGCCAAATCGAAAGAAGATTAACTGCCTGAACGTATTCAGCTGAGTGCGGTTATACTGTAATTATTCAGTAACTGAGCTAACCCCTCACTCACAAAAAAAACGTTCGTTTTATGCGCCCTAGAAAAAAGACTTCCACATAACATTGAACAAATGAAAAAAAAGTGGAAAGATGAGTTTTCCAACCCGACAGATCAACACTTAGCTGTGCTAACACTTACAAAATATGCTTAGCCTACCTACATTAATTCATGTTTGAATACCTCCGTTTTGATAAATTGTGTGTGATGTAAGATTTGCAATGCTTCAACAGCCAACCTGCACTTATCAGAGCTAACAAGACCTCAATTCTTTATGCAAACCAAAGTTTGAAATCATAGCCTATGCAGCTTGTTGTGTAATATTTTAATCTAAACTGCCTTTTTAGATTGCTCTGAGTCTAAACACTGTGCCTGAGTTGTGATGGTTTTGCAGTTTGTAACACGTTTACAAAGCTTCTGTGGTATTTACTATTAATTTGTTGTGGTTTGGTCTTTGTTGTATTAATTTCTAAATCCATTATTTAAATATTTTGAAACCTGTCAATATTATTAGCAATTCACGTTCCTGCTAATAACAAATAAATGAACTACATATTTGTAAACGTCCCATTGACTACAAAGCGTGGTTATTGTCGTTGTCATAAAAAACCTGCCATACTGTTTTTTTCTGTTTATTATTTGGAAACCACCCTCCTCACAAACAGGACTTTTTAAGTGTATTTGTTATGAATGTGCAGTGAAGGTGAACGCAGCACTAGTTTACACTGACTTTGACAGCAGCAGGGATCACGTGTAGGAAGTGGCCTTAACAAAATGTACATTTTAAGCTATCTGATTGGGTGAATTTATAATAACGTTTCTAATGCTGCCTGCAGCAGATGTGCATCGACATTTCCCTGTAGGCGGCCACATGGAGGGGAGCGGTCAGCAGTCTGAGAAAAGGTAAAAGCAGCAGATATTGTACCAACAAGCGACATTAAAAGCTTGTTTGTATATCATTTATATTGTTTTTACTTGTGGTTCGCTGCTGTGGTGTCTATAAACATTTGACCTGCTAGCTAACTTGCAAACCTCACTTTTATTCAGAGACGAGTTAAGTTAGCTAGCTTACTATGACTTGAAAAACGTGTTGCGAGCAGCTAAGCTAAATGCAACATGTTTAACTTTTTTGATCCTTTTAATAGACATTCATTTAGAAAGTTTAGGTTTATTTATACTGCATCTGAAAGGCCATGGACATCCGCACCAAGCCTTTGTGCTACGAGCTCCTGGCAGAAGTTGGGGAAGGCTCCTACGGTAAGGTGTATAAAGCCAGAGAGCTGGGGGAGAAGCAGCGCTTCCTGGCGGTGAAGAAATTCAACATCCGCGGGGACACGTTCGAGATCGGGATCCCTGCCTTCATGATCCGCGAGGTTGCGCTGCTGCGTCAAATGAAGCACTTCAACCATCCCAACATAGTCAAGTAAGTTTATGTTTGGTATACAATGCTAAATACAGTTTAGACTGACTTACACTTTAATTGAGTATTTGTATTGTGTGCGTATACACCTCTACATGTCAGAGTAAAATATGTTGTTCTCCTCTACATTTACACACGGCATCTATTGCACTTCTGTCCGTCCTGGGAGAGGGATCCCTCCTCTGTTGCTCTCCCTGAGGTTTCTCCCATTTTCCCCTTTAAACTGTGGGTTTTCTCCAGAAGTTTTTCCTTGTACGATGTGAGGGTCTAAGGACAGAGGGTGTCGTATTGTCATACTGATATTCTGTACAAACTGTGAAGTCCACTGAGACAAATGTAACATTTGTGATATTGGGCTATATAAATAAACATTGATTGATCTGACACACCTTTTACATAGAAAACATATGATATGCTTATATAATTTAATGTGATGTTATATATTTGTACCCAGTATTGTACTTGAACCCAGTATTGTATGGCATCTCAATTAGAGAATAGAACTCTTTTGTTGACTTTGCAAAAAGTACAGCAAAATTAATAGCAACACTCATGGTGCATTTACAAATATCAAACGGTAACAATGATAATAAGTAGTATTAGTATATATAGTATAAGTTTAAATAATTTAAAAAGAATATGTGGCTCCACATTCAGGAACTACAACAATCAAATACTTTTCTTCCAAAAAAAGAAAGTAATTACATAAGGGTCAACATTAAAACGCGTGCAATCTAGACCAAATAGTGTAGGTTATAATCACAAGCATTGCCTTTCTATTGTTGTTGTTGCTGCTGCTGCTGTTGTTACATGTGTAATCCCCTGTTCATTTATATGCCCAGGCTTTTGGATGCATCTGCCATCCCAGTGGGCAGGAGCCTGGATCTCACTCTGGTGCTGGAATACATCGACCAGGACCTTTCCACCTACCTCTCCAAAGTTCCTGCTTCTGGACTGAGCCATGACTGTATTAAGGTGTCAACTCACCACCTGTCTTAGCATTACTGCAATGCTAGAGAACAGCAGCAACAACCTAGTTAAAACAGAATTAACATAATACACATAAGATAATGGCTCAATCTGGTGGAAAATAGGAAAAAAAAAACAAGCCCTACACTAAAACACAGGATTAACATTTTCCCACCATCTTCTTTCCTAGATTTGGGCCACCTGTAAAGATTAATTCTCTCTTTTGTGTAGCTGAATTGCATTTGTGGAAGGTATACTCCAATGATTCTTCTGGTCAAATATATCAAGAAGTTACTTCCATCAACCATGATCAAATTCTGCTGAACACACTTACACACTGTGCAACAACGTAGGGATATATGTTTGTCCAGGATCTAGCACAACTGTACCTTTTCAGCCCATGCCTCAGGGAAGAAAGCTATTGGTGTGTTCCTTGTTAACTTGCACAACTGGCATTCCCTGTTTTACCAGCATAAACATAAAACACCTGACAACCTGAAAAAGCAGAAGTAAGCGCAGAAATTCCAATTTCCACCCAATCCCAGAGTGAAGTACATAACGGATGACAACTTGAATGTTAACATAAGCTAAACATGCTGGTTTTATAACACATCCTGACTTCACAAGTTAATGATAATCCCCTGAGTGCACAAGTGAACAAATTATGGGAAATACATTTGAGATACGGAGATGTATGCATTCGGACACATCTCTTAAGCCATGCTGCTGTGTGTCTGTACAGGATTTGATGTGGCAGCTGCTGCAAGGATTGGACTTCCTACACACCCACATGGTGCTGCACCGTGACCTGAAACCAGAAAACATCCTGATCAGCAGCCGCGAAGAAGTCAAGATCGCAGACTTTGGCCTGGCACGCATCTACACCTATAATATCGCTCTCACTCCAGGTGTAAGTACGGCAACACATGAAGAAAAATGATTGTACTATGCTAATTATCACTGCAGAAGTCTATCCTTTGTTGTTTTACAGTACATTTTTTCCTAAATATAGCCCTGTATTCTGTTTGTTCCTAAGCCTGAGGTGAAATATGTTCTTTTGTCACTTCCCCCGCCCCGGTTGTGTCCTCATTATGTTTGGCATCCTCTCTCTGTTCAGGTGGTGACGCTTTGGTACAGAGCTCCAGAGGTGCTGCTGAACTCTGTTTACATGTCCTCAGTGGACATGTGGAGCGCTGGCTGCATCTTTGCTGAGCTCTTCCTCCTGAGGTAAAGAGTCTGGTCTGGCTCGGGGAAATATGTGGCACTGGAGACTAACATTTAAGATGTGAAACATTCTCCACAGTCTTCAAAAATCGAGATATCGTTTTATTTTCCTTTTGCATTGTTCCTTCAACACTCCCACAGACCACTGTTTAAGGGATACACAGAGGTTCAACAGCTGCAAAAAATCTTTGAGTGAGTATTTTTCCTAAATCTAGATACTGTAGACTGTAAAGAGTATATTTACAGTTGTATGCTCATACTATCAAAACAGGCATTTTAACTCAAACATACTTTTAAAATTATTCGTTTTGGCTGTTTAAAACAATGCCAATATTCACTTTAATGTCAGCAAGAATGTTTTCCATTTTTGGATTCTTCGTTCATTTTGCAGGCATGTAACAAACATTATTTTTGGAAGGCTTCAGTAGAAGCAGCTGGGAGTCCCAGCAGCTTCTACTGAAGCCAGTCCCCAACTCCGGGGACTTCCGGCCGGGGACTGCCGGGTGGCAGTATACGCCGTGAAGTCGTTTGCGGCTTGCCAGTAAACCCAAAGCAGAAGAAGAAGTGACGTCATCGGCTTCATTTGCGTAATCTTCCCCCAGGGAACTTATTCCGGTGTGAACGCGATCGGCTCTTACTTCCATGGGGTTACTAAGTGCTGGGAACTAAGTACGGCAAAGTACTTGGTGTGAAAGCGGCTATAGATGATCTTAGAGACATTTGCTTTTCAATGTTAATAAAATAAACCTCAAAAAGAGGCTTGATAGCAGACACATTGGTAATAGCAGCATGTGCTCAGTTTTTCTTTTTTATCCTATGTTTTAGGGTGATTGGTTTGCCCAGCGAGGACGACTGGCCCAAGGACAGCCCCATCCGATACTCAGTCAGCTGGGGGCCAAAAGGCTCCAGCAGCAGGCTGCTGCACAACCTCAGCCCCTACGCCAACGACCTGATATCTGTGAGAAAATCTGTGTTTCTGTTTCCATGATACGTTGCCATGCTTCACATTTAACACCAGCAGTTATAGCCTGCACTCGCAGAGAGAGGCTCAGTTCATTCTGAAATCATTTTGGATCAGAATGCATTAGAGCACTTTTGAACAAATATATAAAATAAAGAGACAAAATAGACATACATTTCTGAGTAATTCTGATGGATAGTAGGGTAGTCGGTCAATCTCACAGATATTTGACATTGTTTTTTGTAACATGATTAAGAGTGCACAGCCATGATAGCAGCTCTGTGAGGCTGTACTTTAGCACCGTGTAGTCCAAATTTCAGGTGATAAACGTATAATATCTATATTGTAGAATGTTGTTTAAAACACTTAGTGATGTTCTGAAAATATTCTTTTAATCCTTAAAAAACTCATCTATCCTACTTGACAAATAGCAACTCCAACTTTGGTTGGTGTTTCAGTACAATTACTTGATACTTTATAGCAGGAGGTTGAAAATGCTCAGATTCAGATTATAAATATATGTTTTTGTTGTTGTTAAAAAGCATTACAGCAGCAGCACTGAGACTATAAACCTTCGGATTGTAAGGTGTGACCTCTCCTTACCTGCAGCAATGTTTGGCATTCAGACCGAGCCGCCGCATCTCCGCTGCCAAAGCCCTGACTCATCCTTTCTTCATGAAGCACTGAAGAAAGGAACTCCTGCTTCTCTACTGTCAGCTTTAACATCAGTTCACCAGCATCATGAAGATCAAGGGTCAGGTTTGAGGAGAAAACGTTACGCCTTTATTAAAACACATTACGCCTTACTGGTAGAGCATGAAACACTTTTGAAGGATTGCTCCGGGACACTTTTATTTACTTATTATTTGGCCACCCTTTATATGAACAGTGTAAAAGTATTAAGGTTCTTTAACATTTTTTAATTTTAAGTATGCTTTGTAATTCCACAAAACATAGTCCTGCTTTGTTGTTGATGAGTGTTGATGTTGTGTTGCAAATTACCAACTACACTACATATTATGAGCACCCAATGTTAATGGGTTTATGTTGTTTAAACAAAGCTTTTTTATTTCTGGGCGTGTATATAAAGTCATTTATGTTTTTTATTTATGGTGTTATCTCTGTAATATTACACCTGTATTTATGTTTGTATTGAAAGGTTTTACAAGATATTTTTCTACATGAGTTACACTGTTCATTAGAGAAGCATTGCTATAAATAATTGTCACCCAAACTTGTCTCTGCCTTTGAATACAACACCATCAATAACTGATACATCCGTGTGTATGTCTGCTGTGCAAGTATTACACTTTTTTTTATATATTCACTTTTATATTTAAGAGCCACATTAGCAGGTTTAAATGACTGGTGGATGAACAGAAGGCATATTTTCTCTTGCAACTACAAAGTGTGAACAGGAGGGGGCACTGCTGAAATAGTATATAATAAAGGGAAAAACCAGCAGCATTATGAGTCCTCACATAGTCCACAATCCCCAAACATTTTGGTATATTTGCCCCCCCCCCCCATTTATAAAACCTATTTAATCTCTAGAAGTATATCGATGTGCAGACAGCTTTGGTTTTACTGTACTTGCTAAGGTTTTTTGAAATATGTGCATGTGACATATACATTGTTGAGTATGGAATGTGCAACATGTGAGCACAAAGTAAAAAAACAATACAGTTTACTTAAGTACTTTTTAAAAAGGACTTTTACATGAGTATTTGCTACTTTGTACTTCTACCCCACGACAATTCAGAGGTAAATTGTGTACTTTTACTCCAACATTTATTTTTTCCCTTTAATTGCTTTACAGATTTTGATAAATGGTGTGAAATATGATCAACACTTTAATCAGACATTATTACACCTGGAGTAAATTCACAAGCTACCCTGCAGTACACAAAGGAATGAAAACTAGCTTTACCTTTACCAGCGTCGATAACACTTTAATGCATCAATAATTATAAAACATATCATATATATTATTCTGAAATTGGCCAATCTGCACAATAAGTATTTTTTGTACTATAAGTATATTTTGATGCTAATACTTTGTACTTTTACTTGAGTAACATTTTGAATGCAGGACTTTTACTTTTATCAGAGCAATCATGCTCTTAAGTACAATATATGACTACTTCTTCCACCTCTGGATGTTGACACAGCAACACAAGTTTAGTCTAATAAGTGTAGGTCTTGGTTGATGTTGTTTTAGGTGTGCACACCTGAACACCTTCGCAGTTAATCAAATTCCTCAAAAAAACGGAAGTGAAGTGAACGTGGGCTTTGGGAAGTTATGTTCCTGTAAACCCAAGCTCTTGGAGAGCAGCCTCCGTCGGTTGCTATACTGACGGCTGCTTCCTGGTCAGTGGCGGGGACGGGGTCGTCCCATGGTTTGTCCATCTATTTATACCCTACCCCTCTTAATACGGAGCCCTCTACAGCTGCCAGTGTGACTACATTTGGAGCGACAGTCCGGTGGGGAGGGTCCGCCGTCTGAAGGGCAGCGGCACCACTCCTGCGGCGCAGTGCATGTAAGTACTGAATTCTTCATTAACGAATTTTACAACCCAAAATGTAACCGGGCGCATCCGACCAAGTTCTGAACTTGTTATCACAAGCCACTCATCTCGATCCCTGAACTGTTGTTTGTTTTGTCTGTCTGTTGAAGTTGGGCATTGGTCACGGGAGTGATGGTGTACACAGTGACTCTGAGCTTGTGTGTTCACAGTTTTATGGGGTATTGTCTAAAAATGATATAGAGGTGGGGACGATTTGTCAGTAATGCCCGCACATGTTTCACGCGCAATTTACGCACGAGTTACTAAGGAAAGTTCAAGAATCTTTAACCTTATGTGTGTGTATCACTGTTTCCCTTTTGGTTGAATCCTTTATGTATTTGCAATGTGAATGACTGTAAACAGCCGCAGTTAAATAATTTAAAAGTAGTTTGTTGACAGTCATTCATAATATACATTAAACCCTAAAAAGCAGCCAAAACACGTTGGAGGATGTAGGCAACTGTTATGTGTCTGAAAATTAAATTGTGATTTTAATACATTTGGAAATGTTCTCCATCCCTTGTTATTCTCAATCCATTTGAAATATAAGCAGTTTTAAAGGATCAATGGCTATTTGTTGGACTATTTTATCATACATAAACACAAAACTGCCACAGATCAGCTGTTAGTGTGCTACAACCCGCTGAGGTTAACTAGTGGATCATGGTGATTGCATTAGGCTGTCCTTACTCTGCCCTGGCACATGCCTTTATTGTATAAGGCTTAAGGACAATGCATTGCTATGTGTAAACCTATCCAGAAGCAAACATTTCACTGCCACAACACATGCCATCTGTTAATGGAGAGTCAGTTTAAGTGTGAAAGAAGGGCCTCTCAGAATGTATCCCTGATTTATGGTGCTCCGTGGGGGGGTTTCGTGCGGGTAGCCCAGGACAGGTGTAATTGGTCGGAGGCTTATTCTTGGATAGCCTTTTAATCAGGTTTACTCTGCTGCTGCGGGACACGGAGGTCCTCTAGTTATGCAACATCTGACATGTCTGCCCCTTGAGTTAAACCAGTCTGGTGGCCTGTACAAAATATCCTGAAAAGCCTGTAATAGGGCTGGAACTGACAATTAAACTAAACTATACATCTTCCAATTATTTTTTTATTGGTAAATAAAATGTCAGAAAATAGTGAAACATGTTCAACCCAGTTTCTCAAAGTCCAATGTGATGTCTTTAGGTGTCTTATTTTATCCGCCACAACTTAAAGATATTACATTAAACAGAAAAAAATTGCATTTCTCAAAATGTTCATAAAATTAAAGTATTGTTATTTAAATTGCAAATGCTTTTTCTATCAATCTACCAATCAATCAGTCAACTAAATAGTTGCATCTCTAGTCTATAATGTTACACTGTTGTTTGAGTTTGAGTTGTGTGAGTTAGTGGAGAATGGCTCCTGTGTGCTCATCCACCGGCTTTATTTCAGAGCTAGTGTCAACGGGTGTTGTTGGATTAGAAGCCCATGATCCCCCGTTGAGCCTCCATGGCATTTTCCCCTCCAATTGACAATCCTCTAGCTTGTCACATGACTTGTTGCTCTTTAAACAAGCGTGGCCACCAGCAAAAGCATAAAGGGGTGTGGCGTCGGTGGGACTTGGGCTGCTCGTGGCTTTGCTCTCTCTCTGGGTCCTGACAGGGAGGTGAGTTCTCCTGTTCTAGGTTGGCTGACGACAGTGTTTGTTTTAAAGCACTTGCACACGTGTTTATGAGTTATAACACAGATGCTCATAACGCAAATCTTTGAGCTACTTCTCTCATGTTGGGATCACTGAAACGTACAGTTCAGCTCATTAAAGCTCTCTGTGGCGTCCTCATTTTGGACTCCTGCTAACAATGTCTGCAAATGTGGCCTTCAGTTTATTAAATAGGACATTTATATCTATAAAGTTTGGATGTTTCTGATAGATTAAAGTCAGACCTGATGAGTAATTATGCAGTCTTTAATCTTATCTCTCTTTAATTCTCTCGAGCAATCTAAGAAAAGCAGAAATCATGATAAAATGAACTTGCATCATTTACTTTGTCAACTTTGCTGCCACCAGAAGCATTCGGCCCTGCTGCAGATCTATCTGCTGTACTAAGTCCGAGGCTCACGTTTTTGTTCTGGCTCCATTGTGCTTCCTGCATCAGGAATGCTGACATCCACAGTTTTGAAAAGCAAAGAGACACATATGCAAACACTCAATTATGTTTGTACATATTTGTGAGCCACATAGTCATTCATTTGTGAACATATGATGGTAAGCTGCTGCCTTTAAATGCAAATTGTATCATATCATTACTATTTATATGTGGCTTACTGCCTTATGCTTTGTTTGTGTTATTTATTCACTTCCAGGCAACCATGACGTAGCCAACAGGGACTTTTTTGTCACTTCTCTCTGCGTGTTGCCAAGTCATGTCATAAGTCAGATTGAATATGTATTTAAACAAATTTTGATCCAATCATTTTCGACAGATAACGCTCTGTATTGACACACAACAGACAAACTGTCTATGTGGCATGTTAGATAACATTTGAACAGGAACACTGACTTGTTGGGCTTGAGTTACATCCAGGGTTGTGGAAAAGACCAGAAAGTGTGCAGTGCCATCGAGGCCAGGACCCAGAGTGGAGCTGAGCTGCTGAGGTGTTGAGTTTCAGTGCAAGGGGAGATTCCTGCATGGCACTGCAGCCTGGTACAGGTCATCTTACATGGACTGTACAAGAGGAGAGAAGAGGATGCACTCTTACAAAGTCAATGTATAAAGAAGGCTAGGAAGATATCAACAGAATAACCAAGAAAGGGATGTCAATGTGTGGAGTTAGCTTCTCACCGTTTGATCTGTGTTTTTGTTTGCTTGTTCCTTTTACAGGAGCAATGTCTCACCCACCAAGGAACAACATTGTCTGCAACCTCTGATTGGTTGGCTCTCAGCAAAGAAAGTCAATAGGTCCAATGGAATCTGAATCGCCATTTCACTGGAGAAAAGTTTGACTCCCGTTTTGTTAAAAAGTGGAACAAAAGCAACCCATCTGTTTTTATATGCTTTTTGAATAACTTGAGTCGAAGAAAGTCAACTGAATCATCCTGAGGGACATGGACAGCATGGAGAACCTAGTCCTGGAGCCCAGATCAGAGCGGATCGCTCGCTACAAAGCAGAGAGGAGGCGAGAACTGGCTGAGCGCTTTGGCAACCTGGAGGAGCTACCTACCAAGTGGGTGAGGAGGGATGGGAAAGAGGTCCACGACCCAGAGACCCACAACCAGAGAGGGACTTTAGACTCAGATGGCCTCAGTGAAAGAGTTAACGGCAGGACGCGCAGGGTTGCTAACGGAATAGAGGAGTCCAACCACTTGAAGAGGTGAGTTATTACTGCACAAATGGATGAGTCGATTGAGTGTGATACCATAGAATTCACCAAGAGCCAATTTAAACCAAATCCAAGAGCGATTTTTCTTGTTAAATACAAATCAAATATCTGAATTCATGTCTGTTTACTGATACACACATTTTAGGTGCATAAAATATTTATTTTAAAATAAAAAAACATTAAGTTGACCCTTCAGAATCAGGACACGGCTGTAGAAATCTGTAAATTATGATAATCAATAACTGAAAACGTTAGATGCAGCACATTGTTGGAGTCCCTACAGTTTTCTGGAGCTTGATGTGAAAGGAAGGGAGCAGGTGTGAAAGGCTTAATTTGTCGCGACAGCAATAAAGCAACGTGTCTACTTCCTAACCCTATGACACCTCGACATCAGTACAAACTGTAGGTGTTGTACTGAAATAGAACAATGGATAGTTAGTAAGTATTTTGGTAACAGTGTGCGGCTTCATTCACTGAGGAAAAGTCTAACCTGATCAGTGACAAAAAAGTACTTTGTGTAGCTGTACAAGATAGATGTGGGACACTTGATCTACCCTGTGTACTTTATGCCAAATATGCAAACAAGTGGACTTTCTTTATCGGAAGCTGATCCACTTAGCTTTGTTTCAGATTCTCACTGAAACTTGGGTTGAATAAGACTTCAAATAGGTCTTACTTTAAGACTCAAAAGAATGAGACTGTTTATTGGGAAGTGTTTTAAATAGTAACGTTTTTATTTAAAATGCTTGTGTATTGAGCATATGACTGGATACATGAGATTTGGATTATACTGCAATAGTTGTATGAAAGTTAATGAGCAAGAAGAACAACAATTCCCTCCAAAAATTCAAGTCAACATGCGGTTAGCTATTGGTCAACAAATTATCATATTGGGGGTAAAATGATCATTTAGGTAAAAGTAGATTGTGAGAGATCAAATACATGCACATTTATTTATCAAACATTGAAAATCAAATCAACGTTTTCTTTTTTAGAATGTAACACATTGGAATATGATCAAATTGGTCCGCTACTTACCAGCGACCTTTCAGCAGCTTCAGATCCTTGACTTCACCAGTTGCTCTACGGACTTTGTTTGTAATTCAAACTGAGAGGTCTAAATCTGTGGCTCACAGCTGGGAGTTAAAGAGCCAGCCTGATGCTTCTTTTGTATTTGATTGGTACCCTTCCAGCCTGACACTGGGTACTTTTCCTTTGAGCTTGCACTATGGAACAGAGACTGGGAACGTCTTTAGTGTCAGAATGCACAACATTGCACCTTTCTCTGTTGGAGCTGCACATTTTTGTTTGTGTTCTCTTGACAGTAAAGGTTTGGTTGTATTTGGTTGTTTCTGAGAGCGTTCCCCACACCTGCATCCTCAACTCCTTCCCCCCCCACTCCCGCCCCCTCCAGGCAGGGTTCCCCGGGCTCTGCCAGCATGCTGGGTGGGGAGGGGCACCCCGTCCCTGTTGGACTCGATGCCCCGCAGCTCCACACTTGGGTGTCGGTGGGCCAGTTGAGAAGTTCTCTTCTGCAGCAGACTGGGAGCGGAGCACAGAAAGTGTAGGGTCGCCTGCATGAGTGTGGTCCAGACTGTCACTGTCAGCCTGTGTACCTCTGTGGCCATTTTCACCTCAACATCTTCTTCCTTCCCTCCTCCTGCTCTGTTCGCGTGGGTACCAGTTGCCCTGACGCTGGGCGGTCCACCTCCTCTTTGGATCTGGCTGTAAAGCCTGGCTCTGACGGGGGGCGGCGACGCACCCGGCGTTACCTCCCCAGCGGGTCAGGTGGGGGTCGCAAGACCAGCGAGCGCTTCAGGACACAGCCGATCACAGCCAATGAGATGGAGGAGAGCAGCGGGTAGGGGCTGTGTGCTGTGGTGCAACGTTTGGCAACTGGTTTGGTTTTCACAAAGAAGATTCTGTTTGCAGTGTTTTGTGCCCTGTTAAATTGTATTTTTAGTCTTGTATGTTTTTAACAGAGACATATGTTAAGGATTTACATTTCAGGAGGGCAAAAAGAAGCATAAAAGGTGGATTTGCAAATGGTTAAGGACTGGGGTGTTTTAGGGTTTAATGGTGGGGATGTTAAGATAATGCCCGAGAGAATTTAAGGGTGGGACCAGTTGGCTATTCTCTCTACTATATAGTGTGACTGTAAGCTGTGTTCTGGGTACAGAACTTATTTTTTCCTCTGAGGATGAAGTTGCTCTGTTCCTGCATTTGAGATCGATTTCACTTGTATATTGACTTTCTTTATTACTTTATTAAATATAACAAAATACCAACTTTTTCCATGAATCATTTATCAGTTTCTCTTAAGAATTTTCTCCACATTTTGCTGATATCATTTAAAAATGTGGTTTTACCATTTAACAGTGAAGTGTATGACATCTGGGAACTTTGAATAATATTCAGACAATTGCTGATGGTTTTTGATTTATATCTGCTTCTCACTAATACAAATGCAGTCACACTTGAGGTGTGACAGCTGCAGCACCTTTACATATATGTCCACGGGTGGTGTGGTTTGCATGTGTTTGTCCTCCTTCATGACCTCCACAGTGTTGGTCTACCGAGCATGCAAATATGACACAGTATCTTGCTTGTTTGAAGCTGCATACTGAAGCACAAAGACATGTATTGTGAGCCCACATCTAGATCTGAAATGAAACGCATGCATAGGAGCTGGAGTTTTTAAGTCCACATAATTTCCCTGTTTGTTTTTCACCTGTTGAATTCATTCTTTACCTCTTCTCACCCTTCTAGGGGGTTGGATGCAGAGGAAGAGGAGAATTGCAAAGGTGATGCTGTGTTCCCGCCTGGCTTTAATCATACAGTTTGCTATTGTCTTTGGAGACAAACGGCTTTTGTCTGCTAAGCTGGTACACTGGTGGCAATGTGATGCAGAGAGGGAGAAGGTCAGAGTATCACAACACTGGTCACCACTGACAATGCAATGATGTGAACATAATGATGGAAGGAGGAAAAAGTTAAGGGGCAACAAAAGAAGACCAGAAAAACCTATGATTCTCTTCACAAGCTTCTTACAAAGCAAACATTTAGAGCGTGCATCCAACTTGCACAGGTGCTTCCACAAACTAATATAACAGCTCATGAATCGGGTTATATTTTTAGGCTTGCAATATTTAAACTCCTCTTTGATGACAGTTTTACGTCTCACTAAAACGATTTTAGCAGTGGAGCAATGTTATGGCAGTCCCTCTCTTTACCTCACCATAAAACCTTACAAGCACGTTTTACAAAGATTGACCCACTGAGAATTCACAGCATGTCTGCGGAATCAAGCAGGCAATGTAAATCTAGCTTTATATGCTACTGGGATTCATTTCAGGCCATACGTCTTCTGCCTTCCACTTTGCAGTGGATTGAATCCCCAAATTCAACAAAAGTTAGGGATTTATCAAGTCTCACCGTTTCCTGTTGGAATATTTAAAAACTCTATTTTATAATGCTAAAGTGTACACAACATTCAAATGACAATATGTCAAGAAATGGGGATAAAATGTGTTGTTTAATAATACCTTTCAGGTATTTTATATACAGTTGGAGAGTTTCCTGTTTCCTGACCTAGTGGTCTGGCCCCTTTAAAAACTCACAAGATGAGGGGTTATGAGATAGTTAATGGGGTAGCAAAGAAAAATCTTTTGCCAACTTAAAAAAAAAAACCTTTATCTAATCTTTGCTTCTTTTTGTGCTAAATATTGGATAGTTTTTGCTCCAAAAAGTGGTATTGTATTATCCTTTCTTATTTTATGCAACCTTGATATGAAATTCGACTAGTCACTATTGCTAGTATAGTAGTATAGTAAAAAGTTGTTTGTAGAGTAGAGAAGTAGAGAAATTGACAAATTATTTGGTAAAATACCTCATTTAATAATCTACTAAATTAGTTTCCACCTTTTTAAGAATCATCACGTGTAAATTACATAATGTAATTTGTGAGGATTTCGATGCCTGTTTGATCACCAGTTCTGCTGATTGCTGACATATTGCGTCTGAAACGTGTGATGGATGGCAACTGTTAATGACTGAATTATATCTCTTTATTCTCCCAGCTGATGTGAAAACAGATGACAGAGCCAAAATGAGTGTGGCAGCCAAGATGTCTTTGTTTAAAGTGAGTCTATATAAGTCTTTACCCTGTAACCAGATCCATATTGCTGCTCAGGACCTGCTTAATTCCTTTTATGTTACGTGCTGTTTGTCCTATTGCAACAATCTGCCCGTAGCTATTCACTGCTCCTCAATCAAATGTGCAAGGCGACAATTCAGCTGAATAATGTAAGGTTTTCTGAAAGTTACTCATGACAATCAAGCATAGACAAACTTGTCTAACCTGAATGGCTTACAGTATGTAACTGTCTACTGAAATTTGTAAAATGCAATATCCTATATTAGATTAAAACTACCATAGCTCAGTTAAAAAGTTGGGGGGAAATGTATAGAACAGCTAAGGGAATGCTACACTTATCATCCTCCGCTGCTCACCTTACAGTCTGAGAATCATGGTGAGCCAGCGCTGAGCATGCAGAACACAACCTGAACATGCGGATAGATATGAACGGTGAAACAGGTGCAGTCTGATGCTACAGTTTGTAAAGAAAGACTGTGTAGGTGTAATGTAGTGTAATGAAAACACCGTTTGTGTCTCTACACAGAAGAGCAAACACCTTTTTGGATTTTCATTTCAACAGTTGCATTCTCCGTTTCTAGAATGAACCCTTCTACAACATTGCCATAGCCATGGAGCTTCAGGTGAAAATGTGCCAGACACTGTATTACTATTAGCAACCATGGCAGAGGTGTGTATAATTAGCCTGCTAGCCTGTGAAGGCAGGCTGAGGTAACTGAAGCAGGCAGCAGAGCTCTGGTTACACTGCGACCAGTTGAGCTGGCTGGCATTCTATCCATGTAGCCAGCACGCTCCACCTTACAGCGAGCTGCTTTATTCACCAGCTATCTGACCCCCTCCCTCCATCTGTCGATACAAATAGAACAGGAGACATCTGCAGGGGAGAGTTTTCACTGACATGTTTGTGCTCTCATTTATGAGTTATTTAGCAGGTGGAGGCTGTGCATTGAAGCTGCTATTTGACCTATATGTTGGGCTCCACCTGTGATGGTCAGATGTTGTGGGTGATATTAACATGTTTCCTCCTCCTCTGTAGGAGCTGGAGAAATCAGCTGCCCCCGAGGCCTCGGCCTTCCTGAAGCCTCGCTCAGGCAGCGTCTCTCATGAGCGCAGGACGCGCCGTGGCAACGATCATCGCTTTCTTACTCAGCCAATCACCTGTGAGGAAATCGTGGCAATCAGGTGGGGAAGCTTAGTGGTCAGATGGAGATTTTAGCTTCATTTCTAGGAATACAAATACCATACAGAGGCATATTTCTTGGCCATTTGGTTGGATTCAAAACACTTTTATGCAACTCAACTCCACTTTATTTATAGCACCTATCATACAATGATGCAAGCCACACAGATAACTTTATAGTCAACTTTAGATATCTGTTCCATTGCTGTTTCTAATAGCCAAGTAATTTGGAAATGATCTACGTGTTAAAAGGGTAAAGCTGGTAATATGCATTAGTTAAACTATTGTCATCAAATCCCATAAAGTACACCAAAACAAAAAATGACAGGATCATATAAACTGTAAAGTACTGAGGAGGACAAGTCACTGTTTCTACAAGTTTGTGTGTGTGTGGCATAAAGGTTGAGAATCAGTCTAGGGAGCATGTTAAATAAGGTCACAAATATTTGTTAAATAATATAAGTGTCCAACTATGTTCATAGTTATAAAGGAACATGTCACCAAGTACAACAGTGTGACCCTCTGATGTAGTTTTGGTAGAATTTGAACAATGGATCTTTGCGGCACTTACTGTATGTAATAGATGTATCCGCCATTGGCTATTCAGGCAATACTTGTTAACAAGATCAAATCACTCTTGGCTTTAGTCTTTATGTTTACTCGTGTTTTCCCGCAGCGCCCCCAAACCAGCCCCCCCAGTGGAGCCCCAGTCTGCGCCGGCTGAGGCGGTGGAGGATGCTGATGAGAGCTGCAAGCTGAGCATGAGTGAGAAGCTAGCACTCTTCAACAAACTGTCCCTCACAGGGAAGCAGGAGGGCGGCCCCGCTGACGGGCCCCCAGATAGACGGAGGCAGAAGGGGGCCAGGTACCGCACACAGCCCATCACTGTGGAGGAGGTCAGCCTGGTGAGTACACAGACCTTCAATGCTCAAAACTAAACAAAACATGAAAATGAAAGAATGTGCTTTTGAAGAAGACAGTGGTGACTTTTAAGCTTCAACATGTGTAAATAATTAGTGGAAAAGTCTGAAACATGTGTCTTTGTCATCTTACCTATTTATACACATAAGCACAACAACCATTATACATAGTCCTACTCAATTTCTTGCCCTGATGAAAGTTTTCTACTGTGTATTTAAATTTGAACAATGATCTATACCTGTGTCTCACCCTTGTGTCTTGTCTCTTTTCAGCTCCAGAAAGGCCCCGTTCAGCTTCCTGCCTTCTCTTTGTGCCCTCATCTGTCCGACAGACAGCAGGACTCGTCTGTCAATCTGAAACCCAGTGAGCTACGCCACTCCCAGCTTAGACCTGACTCCGGCCCCGTGTCTGGAGAGGGTCTGCAGCGGCACGACTCTGAGCCCATCCTCAGAGGAATCCTGAAGAAGAGCTGCTTCGGAGGCTCCGAGTGGAGCAGGGCGACCTGCCATGAACAGAATGGTGGAGGTTGTGAAGATGCAGGAACACAAGGGAGGATGGAGAGCACAGAGCGGCAGGAAGTGCCTGCAGCCCCGCGGAGAGAGAGGCGCCAGGCTCCAGGTGTGGAGGGGGGCTCGCTGCCTACCGCTCCCTGGAGGCAGAGGGCTCGCACCAGAAGGGAAACCATTGCCTGTACACCGATAAGAGCCTTGCCAGAGCAGGACGCTGCGCAGGGGGAGAGGGGGGGCCAGACAGAGCTGCAGGAGCAGCTGCTCTCCTCTGTGGAGCACCGCTCAGATACTACTGGGAGAGTTCAGTGAGTATCTGAATGTGCTGATACATGCCTCCTTTATAAGAACAAATATTTAATTTAGCAAAAGTTCATCAACTTACTAGCCGATGCAACTTGAGCTATCTTGATATGTTTAAAATGGCTTGCAGGGATTTCTTTAAAATAAAGAAAGTTTCTATTACACGTCTGCACATTGCACATCCTACTTTAAACATTGGTTGTTGACTTAATTTTGTGAAATTATTTCTGTCTTTACATTTTAGCAGAGAAACAAATATGTTACGGTTCAAGCCTGCTCTGTTTGTTACATCTAAATATAAGAACAGCTTACTTTTACATTTGCATCATAATATATTAAGTGGCAGCTTAAGCCATAGACCAGAAACCAATTATTGACAATTTCTGTCTTTTAACAGAACTCATTTACAAAATAACATCATAATATTTTAAGTGGAGACATTGGCTTTTTCACTGTTTTAGTGTTACAAGTACTGAATTAATTGAAACTACATTTAAGAGAGGGTAGGCAGGTACAGACATTATCTTTGTAGGGCAAACCAATAAAATACTGTAATGTTAAATAAAGGCACATATAGTGTGTGCAAGTGTAATTTTGGAAATCTATCCATTTACTGTTGTAAACAACACGTTTGTCCTCCACTGTTCTATGTTTTATATTCTGTATATCTGATGTGACCAAAAGGCAGCAGAGTGAGGAGAAGAGTGAGAGGAGGAGGATGAATGAAGAAACCCCAGCCGTGGGACATGTTGAGGTCACACTGCTAGATGGCAACAGTAACATGCAGGAGTCCACCAACACCAGCAGAAGAAAGGTAAGAAACTAAAATTCTTCACATTGTAAATGTATTGGTCTGCGATGTCTTCAGTATGTAGAATGAGACTCGCAATGGATAAAAGCACAGCTGCAGAATCAACAGCTGCTGCGCCTGTTGTCTGTTAATGGGAAACTCTTTGCCCCTCAATAATCTCTAATCCTATGGAGCCAGCGGGCTTCAGACTGTCAGCAGTGGGATAACGTTTAATTTCACTTTTCAAAATCCCATTTTTGGAGTTGCTGATACAAATCCCAATATGTTTATTTACACTGCTATCAAGTATTGCCATGCAGTGACAGTGTTACAAAACTGCAATCCTACAACTCAATTTTATGAACAGGAATTACATTTACTTCGACTCATTTTGACACAAACACAACGTTTTTGCAACATCAGTGTAGTGCACGTTTGTAGTCCAACATTCACAGTACTTTTTTATTTTAGGTTCCCAGCTTATGTTCTGTCAAATAGGGAAATGATCTCGTCCCACAGTGCTTGTTTCAGATGATATAACCAAACATCAGCTGTCGGCAAACACCTTGTCACTTCAATGGTTGTATAAAACACATGCTGCTGTCATGCCATGTCATGTTTGTTGGTGAGGGAGATTCGGCCCAGGGCACAGAGCGACACCTGTCAGTAACTGGTTTTTTCATTTTATTTTGTACATATACACTTATAAAAAGACAGTAAGAATTTAAGAAAAGTTTGAACCTTGCGCAGGAGAATTAAAAAGCAAAAGTGGCCCCAAAGGATATATCCCGTTGTTGAGAATAATAATCATACAACAAAAATTAAAGAATCAAAAGACAAAAATACAGATTGCATAATTCGTCAAAGTTCCAAGACCCTAGCAGTAGGAAACAAATATTTTTTGAAACATCCAATTTAGTTGTAATTAAAAGTCAACATGCATATCAATGAAATTCATGAAGTGATAGATATCTTTGCTAATGAAAGTCCACTCAACGTTTTCTGTTAAATTATCCGTGAAAGGAGCCTCGGGATGTTTGCAGAAAGCGGCATGTAGAGGTTGTTGTGTTCATTCTCCTTGCCATCCTCAAATCCATAATGAGAAGAGGCCGCCTGTTAGATCGGTGTGTTTGTCATTCCAATGAAACCAGATATAGCATCTCTTAGCAACAGTGCTCTGCATATGGTAGGTGCTAAATGTCTTGAGATCAGACTGAAGTCACTGAGATATATCTCCAGACTACCAAGTGTTTATGAACTGAGAAGAGTTTGAATGTCTCGGGGCATTATGTGGAATGTACACAGACTAAATGTTGACCCTTTTTATAACCTTATTATCTCACAATTCATATACTGTATTTTGGTGTTTTAAATGTATTGTTCATTCTGTTCTGTTTCTGTTTTAATTGTACTCTTCTAGCAACACTTTAATTCGTTTTTTCTACCCCTCTGTTCCCCCCACAGTGCCCTCTGCAGGAAGAGACAGAACACCTTCATGTGGACGCTGTCACCCCTCAGTGCTGGGTAAGTCTTCATCTGATGCTTTTAAGATCCTTCTAAATCTCCATTATGAAGATGATATTCATTACTAATTTGACCATAGCTTTAGCCTGCCCGTCTCTCTTCTAATTCCTCTTCTCTCCCAGGATCCCGTCTTTGCCTCTGTCTTTTCTAGCAGTACCCCCCAATATATCATATGTTTCAATCAGGTAATTGTTTGAGCCGCTGCATGGCAGATAATTTGACGCCTTTTTTCGGGTTTGCAGTGTTTTGTATGCAGTGAAACGTTTTTGTCCTCACACAGTTTCACACTATGACACTGTGATTTTGACAGATGATGTGTGAAGTTTCACTCGTGCTAACGAGATAAGTCTGCCACCTGCGGAGTGTTTCTTTAGTTAAATAAATCATCCTTTTCCTGTAATGTAACATCACGGCTCTCACTATGCAGTGTCTGTAACACTTGTGTCATACCCTTTTTTTTTTTCAACCTGCAACAATATTGGAAAAAAGTTTTGCTATAAAAAGTAGCCGAGCTTCGTTTAATATTAAAGTCATGTTTTTCATAACTTCTGCTGCTCAAATAGTTTGTACACATACGCAGTCTCTCCTGCTATGATACTGATATGTTTCTTTGTCTACCATCACATTTTTGACAATGCACATGCACGTCTCCAAAGGGGTCTCTCACCACTTTCCTACAATTAAAACTAACCTGTTACCTGCATTCTCTATTTAATTCATCCTCAGACAAATTTGTCTTTTGAGGCACAAGAAGTCTCCTCTCCTACCAAGGATCCGATTCAGCCTCAGCGGAGACAGAAGGTGACACAGGCCGAAGTTTTCTTTAAATCTTAAAGTTTATTTGAATATATAGACAAGCTTGACATCTGTTTTTCATGATGCCCAGGTTAATGGAGTTGAGGATGAGAATGGCCAAGACGAGGACATGAATACAGAGCAGGAAAGGAAAGAGAAACATGCTGGATGTTTAGCCCTGAGAGGTGAGTTTACCCAGTTCACTTGCTCTGGTTTACTCTTTATCTGTGACTCCACCTCAGGAGGATTGTATATCTGACTCCTGCTCTCTGTGCGTACTACCCGTTAGGATCTCCAGAATCAGACAGAAATGAAACCTCTCATTACAAAGGACTCTCTGAAGCTCCAACACGCACATATGAAGGTAAAGCTGCATTAGATGTAAATATACACTTTGTTTTGAGACCTTTCCTGTTAGATTTCTCTAAATAGTTTGTTCTATTTCCTCAACAGAAATCTCCCCGCAGCCTTTAACAGAGTTTGAAGGTAAGATCATGTAAACTAAAGGCTTATAAATATATGTTCATCAAGTCATTACAAAGCATTTCAAGTAAAGTATTTTGTGTCCTGTGCGCCCGCAGATCCACAGGGCTCTCCGCTCTCGGTGTGTCCACATAAGGTGAGGGAGGAGACGCCTGTGGATGAATCAAACCCTAATGGAGGTTCCTACAGAGATCAGTCAGCTCCCTCGGCCTGTGCCCCCCCACCCTGTGGAGACGCTGCTGCCACAGAGAGTGAGCAGGACCTGGGCGTCCTCTGCCAGACCAACGCACCCATGTGAGCTGGTTTTACTGCAGATTGTAAGATTATTGGCCTTTCTTATCGCTGTAATTTGGAAATCTGACATATTCAGGGATGTGCTAGAAGGACCCATCTGATTGTAGGTATTTTGCTTTTAAATAATAATCATCTAGAGAATGCTATGGTCTCTGACAGGTATGCAAATTAGATTGATTTAATTATTATTTTTTCCTATAATTTAACTTAAGCTTTAAAAATCTTGTTGCAAAAAACCAAAAATGATGTGTGTGTCTAAAAGGTTTAATTATTACGTGCCCGCTGCAGTGGCCTAATGTTATGTTGACAATATTACATTTGGAATATTATGGTATTATATAAAGAATTTAAAGAAGGACAAAACTGATTTGTTTTGTATTAACGCTCTGTAGAAGTCCTACATAATGATTGCATGTGAATCAAATAGATACTATTTGGTTTCAGGTTTTCTAAAACACCTAATTGTTTATGTTTTTACATTGAGTCATGTCTATGTTTTTTAATTCAGCGTTGCTTATTGAATTTCACATTAGTTTTCTATTTTCACTCCCGGCCAATAAACGTATCATCATGATTGATTTATTTAATATAGATGTAGTTTATGTGCAGAATCCATCTTGGATTTCAACTTCTCTAAGTTCGTTATATATTGAAAAGTATAGCTATTTGCAGGTTACTCCCAACAAGGATAGGACACTTGTGGAGCACACTTAAATAATAATGATAATAACTGAGCAGCTTTTTACATTCTGGCTGTGAGAAAGATTATGTCAAAGTTTATTGACACATCAATAACTAATCAATATAATAACTGAATTCTTATGTGTGTGTGGTGTGCAGACTGACATCAGCAGTAGCGGAGCACAGGCGGTCGGTGCGTCCGTCCCGCCGTACGCAGGGCTCCAGAAACCCTCTGAGGGCCCTGGCCGCCCGGGAGGACATCCGGCAGGACTACATGGGGGAGAGAGTGGACTCAGCGTCTGAGGAGAGCAACCAATCAGAGAAGAGTGAGTGGGGATATTTCACTATCTTTAGTCTTTAGGCAAGGCGAGGCAAGTTTATTTATATAGCACCTTTCAACACAAGGCAATTCAAAGTGCTTAAAGACATTAAGCATTAAGAAATAGTGCTGCAGAAACATATTATCAAATGGCATTTAACATTTAAAAGCAAAGATAATAAAACATGAATAACACAGGTACATGAATAAAAGTTACAGTGCAGTGTGAGATATGAATCAAAGCAGTGGCAAAAAGAAAAGTCTTCAGCCTGGATTTAAAAGTAGTAAGAGTTGCAGCGGACCTGCAGGTTTCTGGGAGTTTGTTCCAGATATTTGGAGCATAATAACTGAACGCTGCTTCTCCATGTTTAGTTCTGACTCCGGGGACAGAAAGCTGACACGTCCAAGAAGACCTGAGAGATCTGGATGATCCTTTTTATTCAGCTTAAATGTGTGTGTCTTCCCTCCCCGTAGAGTCCAAGAACCCGCCTGTGACAGAATCAAATCTTTCCAGAGCAGAAGACGTCCTCTCTTCCTCAGACACAACCAAGTCTTCTCCTCCCTTCAGCAGCCTCATGCTCATTCACATCAAAGGTCAGAATATAGTTATCTGTATGTACGAGTGTCCCAACGATGACGTGTTTGTATTCAGGTTTTTATATTAACTTGGGCCTGTGGCGACAGGTAGGCGGCAGGTCCAGGTGCGTCTGGTGGAGCCCTCAGCACGCTCCCTGAACAGTGGAGACTGCTTCCTGCTGGTCTCCCCGCAGCACTGCGTCCTGTGGAGCGGAGAGTTCGCCAATGAACATGAGAAAACCAAGGTACCACGGAACACAATTCAGTTCAATTCAATTCAAGGCTTTATTGTCATGTGCACATTAGCTACAGTGTAGATATGGCAATGAAAAACTTAAGACACAGGCTCCTCCAACAGTGCAACATGAATATATATATATATATATATATATATATATATGACATAAAATACAAAGAGAATAGAATATAACAGTAACATATGTAATGTTATTATTTTCTATGGTGGGGATCAAAACTGTCTCAAATGTAAAGGGTGCCAGGCTATAATAGATGTTCATGGTATAAGACATGTTGTGCTATAAATACGAATTTGATGAAAACATGTAGAAATGCTCACTTTGAAATACTTATCACATGTTCTACAAAAGGTTAAAACCTTTTGTAGAACATGTGCCACAAATGAAATTGAAATGTCAATCACTTTCACACCTTCACTTTCCTGCTGTCATCACATACTGCATTTTGATAGCTGTGACCAACCATGGTGAAACTACAGTTTCTGCCTTCACACATATCAAAACGTGTGACTCAATCTAAATACTGGCATTGGCACTGGCAATACTGCTAAAATGTGTACAGTATCTGATAGGGCACATTATTTGGTGCAGCACCTGTTGCAAAACTCTTTCATACCAGAAATCACATTTTTAAGAGTATTCTGTTACCAACTAGTTCCATACGCCTGTTTGGACGCGGTATTAGAACATTTTATTTTTATTTTTCAGGCCTATGAGCTGGCATCATCCATCCAGAGTCAGAGGGGTCTGGGCTGCCAGGCCTCCCAGGTGGTCCACCTGGAGGAGGGGGTAGACTGTGACGGCAGCCTGGCAAAAGACTTCTGGGGCCTTCTGGGAGGACGGACACAATACAAAGGTTAGAGGTCAATGTGTCTTGCGTAGATCATTTATCCTTAGATGGTTTTATATTTTATGTTTATCATTTATTAAAGGGCCCATGTCATGCTTTTCCGGTTATTACCCGTCCCCTTGTGTGTTATGAAGGTTTTTATGCATGTAAACGGTCTGCAGAGTCACAAACCCTCAAAGTACACCCTGTAGCGAGTAAAACTCTAACACAGAAAATACCTCCCCAAAACGCCTCGTTGGAGATACGTCATTGATCATGCCGTACCCGGAACGAAATGGACCAATCCGTGGAGCCGTTACGTCAAGCCCCCGCTGATTGGACCAAATTGACCAATCCACAGACTTTCTCACACACACAGGGAGCAGGCAGCTCTGCTGATTTCTCCTCCCTGGCTGCAGGCTGATAACAGACAGTTGGGATTGCGGCGAAATGCTCTCTGCAGACCCATTCTCACAGCGTTTATCAACCTTTTTCTTACTCAATATCAAGCCACACTTATTGTTTTTACTTCGGCTGTGACTTTGTGTGTGCTCAGGATGAGTTTGGCTGTGCTTGGCTGTGTATCGCTAACAAGGAAACAACACCTCCACGGAGCTCAGCGCGATTCACAACGTCCCGACCAATCAGAGCACACTGTGCTCACAGGGAGGGTGGGGGCTGGAGCTATTGGAGCTACAACGAGCCGTTAAAGACAGAGAGTGAAATTCAGTGAATACACGTAGTTTACAGAGATGCTGTATGAGAAACCAATGTGAGTTTGGAAAAATGCACAATGTAAATCTATCCTAGTAGACCTCAACAATGGAATTATGATCAGTGGAAATGGCCATGACATGGGCCCTTTAAGTCAGAATAGAAAATTACCTAATTTTTCTCTTGAGACATTTACCATTTAGTTGATCAACTATTTAAAGACAACAAAAGGGAAAATTGGAAAAATAGGATTTTAACATCATTTTGTGGAAAAGTAAGTCAAGTAAAAGTACGAATGCCACATTATGAAAATACTCGACTACAAATCCAAGTACAGAAAATGTACTTGTATCAAAACATATTTTGAAATAGCTAATTATTGGAATATTACTGTATACTAATGCATTTATGTAAGCAGCTTATACGAATGTTCAAGGTAGAGCTTCTTCTTATACTGTGGTGTTGTTTAATTTATAACACATTACATTTTTACCTTTTCTTATTTTTTCCCTAATATGTTAACAGTAAATGTAGTTATCAGAAAATGATGGTGGAGTAAAAAGTACAATATCTCTCTCTGAAATGCTTTGGAGTAGAAGAACTGAATTGCAAAATAGGATTGTTTAAAAAGTAAAATACATGCCACCACTGATCTGTGTATATGTGGACTGAGCATTCTGTATGTTCTTGTGTTTGCGTAGGAGCCAGTGCAGAGGAGGAGGATGAGCTCTATGAGCGTGGGGTGGTGGAGTCGAACTGTGTGTACCGGCTGGTGGAGAACAGGCTGGTGCCTCATGAGCAGGCCTGGGCCTCTATCCCCAGTGTCTCCCTGCTGGGCTCCACTGAGGTCTGAACTCTCTAAATATGTTGTCCCTTGCGTGCTTGTTCTAAAAAAGTCAGACAGTTAGTTTAAACATCTGATCATGTCTCAGATTAAATGTATGCCCATTCTGTCATCCTTTTTTCTCCAGGCCCTGGTGTTTGATTTCGGCAGTGAGGTGTACCTGTGGCATGGCCAGGATGTCTCCCTCAGTAGGAGGAACGTTGCCTTCCAGCTGAGTCACCAGGTGTGGGTCGGTCCTTATGACTACAGCAACTGTGGAGTGAATCCGCTGGATCCCACGCAGTGTAACCCCAACACACCGCTGTAAGTTCACACCGCAGGCGTAAAGCTTTTAGACCCTACCTTACAAAGGAAAATCATCATATCAATGTTGGGACACATAACAGAAACAGAAGAGTACAGCTGTAAGTATGACCTAGTTTGAACATTGCTGTGCACCCAAACAAGTGTGGATGTAATTCCACACTGGACACAGTAAGCACAAGACATTAAGTTTACTGTGCATGCAGCAGCCTAGTAATATGCAGTAAAAGTCTTTAGTGCATGCTGTTAAGCCAAAGCAAATGGCATTTCATTCCAAACTGAAACCCCAGGATACAGCATTGTGTCCACATGACATGCTGTTTTATGAATACACTTCGCACTGACAGGCTGCTGCTGGCAAAAGACAGTGGAAAGTCAGAAATTCACAAAAGTAGCAGGACACCTGTTGAACATGTAATTCAAAACTAATGGGCTTTAATGCTGCTATAATAGCCATTTATCTTTTATGATGATTTTTGGTACAAAGTTGGAGGCACGCTAATGTCTAAAACTTGAAAATAAGTGGGGAAAAAAGTGCTTTATTTTTTATATGCACAAAAATTACAGAAATGATTCGTTGATAAAAAAGTCTGCTAATTTATAATGTATGAAAAAGAAATGTCACAAGTAAAAATAAAAAGTGAGACTTATACAATAAGGACACTGCAAAGCCCAATAATTTACCACAATGTGCAAAAATATCATTTAAAAGTTACATGATTGCAAAGCGGTCATTAATTAGGGTTGGATTCGGTGTAAAATTAATTTGTTTTTGATGACTCTGTCCTCAGGAGGGGAGAGGGGCGTCCCAGCTGGGCGTTGTTCGGTTGTGTCTCAGAGCACAGCGAGACTGCTCTGTTCAGGGAGAAGTTCCTGGACTGGACAGTCAGGAGTGGAAGCACGGAGGAAGCTGCTGCCGTGAGCCACAACACACAGGTTTGTCTGATAGAATGAGTGTACACACACACACACACACACACACACACACACAATCATTTAAGATCATCAGATTTCCCATTTTTCTCAGATGATTTAATCTTGACCTCTAATTTTCATTGTTATTTTTTCGATTCCATATATTTCACTTTCAAGATTCTGGGTTTAGTTGTTACCAATACGTCATTTGTTTAATCATTGCAATCAATCAATCATCATTATCTTTGTTCCAAATATAATTGTTGCTTTTATTTAAGCTTTAAAGGTATTAAAGGTATTCTGATTCTGATTCTGATTCAACTTCTATCCGTCCACAGCCTGTCCCAGTTCAGTCTTCCGAGTTAATGCCCCCATCCTCAGACATCTTAAGTGCCTGTGATGCCAAAGCCTTAGTGTCCGGTCAGTTACTAGAAGGGGATGGCTTGGTCCATAACGTGTTAGCTGGGGTTGACGTCCAGAGGGGGCACGGGGTCATCATGCTGGAGGAAGGACGTCAGATGGAGGTGAAGACAGTTGCTGTGGACATGTGGCACGTCCAGGAGTTTGATGACAGCGAAGTTCCCGTGGAGTGTACCGGGCAGCTTCACGAAGGAGACTCCTACGTCATCCGCTGGACTTACAGTATCAACACTGTCGGTCAGAGACATTTATCGCGTCACCCTCACATTCCTTACTGTGGCTTATTCTGTCCTTTTAGTCAGTGTTATTTGATTTAGACAAAAACATCAGCTATAAAAATACCTCAAATAGAAATGTAAATATGTTATCCTCTGCTGTAGATAAGATGAACAGCACTGATGAGTGTAGTGGAAGTCCCGAACAAAAAGAAAACACTGCCTTCTTCCTGTGGCGGGGCCGTCACTCCAGTGTCAGCGGACGGGACACCGCTGCTTTCCTGTCCATTGGGACGAACAACCAAGAGGAGTCACAGGTGAGGCCTTCAGAATACCGTTTGTTGGAAATAAAACCACACCCTAAAGTAATTACTCTGTAAGAACGTTTACTGAAGGAGCATATTGAAGGACACCTTTGGTGTGAGGGTTTACTTTAAAAACCTTCTTTGAATTGGAGGGATGAGACCCTCTTTAATGGTCACACATGCAGCACACACAGTGAAATGTGTTCTCTGCTTTTAACCCATCCTAGTACCAGGAGGCTAGTACTAGGAGCAGTGGGCAGCTATTGCACAGCGCCCGGGGAGTGAGGGGGGAAGGGGGATGTCCATTGCCTTGCTCAAGGGCACCACGGCAGGGCCCTGTAGGTGAACTGGAACCTCTCCAAGTAGCAGTCCACACTCCATACTTTAAGTCTGTTCGGGGACTTGAACCGGCGACCCTACGGCTCACAGTCCAAGCCCCTACTGACTGAGCTACTGCTTGATTGAAATATACTTTACTCTATTCAATTGATTGCTGTATTTAGTAGATACAATGCAGTACAAGGGTTTACATGCAAATACACACTGTGTGTACTCAACAGTTTGACTGATTCAAATATGGACTTTTTGTTGTGTTGTCTCTGAAGGTGGTGGTTCCTCAGGGAAAGGAACCTCCCTGCTTCCTGCAGCTTTTCCAGGGAGGCCTGGTCGTTCACAAGGGCAAGAGAGAGGAAGCCTCCACTAATGCAGGTACTGTACAGTAAGGGCCTGTATCTGTTCTCCTGGTTTAGTCATCAGGCTCAGAAATACTTCATTTATCCGTTCTAGAACATAAACATAGAGAAATGATAATAAGAAAGATGTATATAAATAATGTGCATATTTATATTTTTTAACAGGTTGAAAAATATAATACTAAAAAATGCCATTTATATTTAAGTGTGTTAAAATACAGGAAAAAGTGTTAATAGAACAATAATTGAAAAGCACATTTGAATTCAGTATTAATAACCAAGCAGACAAACAGAGCTGCCGATGGGGGTGAATTAAGTGCAAGAGCCAGTCTACTGACTTAGATGATGTGACACTCTGAAGGAGAAGATGAAAAGTTTGATGGCCACAGAGAGGAATGGACTCCTGTGGGGCTCTGGTGCATCTTTGGACAGCACGCAATGTCATGTGATTTTAAAACACATCTTTTATTTTATTTTGTAGCAGAGTGGCGTCTCTTCTGTGTGCGCGGAGAGCTCCCTGAGGAAGGCTCTCTGTTGGAAGTGGATTGCTGCTGTGCAGGTCTGAGGTCCAGGGGCTCTGTCGTCCTGCTCAGCAGCCAGCAGGGGCTGATGTACCTCTGGACGGGCGGTAAGGCTCACAGCGGCTCCAGAGAGGTCAGCAAGAGGGCAGTGGAGCATCTCACTCAAACGTGAGTCAAGTCAGTGGGTCGGCTTTTCAAGGATTCAGTGATGTCTTTAACATAGAACGTTGAAATCACTTTCCAGCCTTTGAATTGTTTGTGTTTTTAGGTGTCCACCAGAGCTGGGTCTCAGTAAAAGCAGCCCTGTGAAGGTGCAGGTAGTGGAGGAAGGCTCAGAGCCGGCAGAGTTCTGGACAGCACTGGGACAAATGGACAGGAAGGCGTATGACTGCATGCTGCAAGGTAAAACACAACTCAACGTCTCTTCATCCAGGACCTTCTCTAATCTTCTAAATCACACTTAAAAAATATTTCTTTGTTAGATCCCGGAAAGTATAACTTCACACCTCGCCTCTTCCACCTGAGTGCCTTCTCTGGGAGTTTCCAGGCTGTCGAGCTGCAGAGTCCAACTCGGCTGCCGGGGGTCGTGATGCCATCGCCCTTCATCCAGGAGAGTCTGTACTCTGTACCACAACCAGGTGACAGCATACACATGCACGCATGCACAATACACAAACATATGTGTCTCTTTCTCTGTTATATTTGTATGTACATTCATTGAAAACAAGAACCACATTACTTTTGAGTCAACCATTTACTTTATCACACATTTACACTGGTTTGTTGTTATCAATTTCTAAAATTGTTTTAGCAGTATCCTTTTTTTTCTTTCTGCCAAAATCCCAACATCAAAAGTTAACTTAATTTTATTATCAATCTGATATATTTCCTAAAAATCCCCTTTGTGGTCACATGGTAAATACATATTTGTAAACCATGCCCTCAGATTCACATTCCATACACATGGAGCACATAAGTTCATTTGGCTTGCATACATTTACCTAAATAAAATGTTTTCTGCTAATGGTAAAAAAAAAAGAAGGATATTTTATTAATGCTGTTTTTTGGTATATAAAGTATCTGACTTCTTCTTTTCACCAATGAGAAACGTTTGAGTATATGACTCCCAGAAGGGCTCCGTAATTCACTTTATTGTCTCATATCCACTGTCTTTCTTGCCTGCCTGTTAGCCTTGTTCCTGCTGGACAACCGTCTGGAGGTGTACCTGTGGCAGAGGGGTCAGCCTGAGCAGACGGAGAGCTCAGCCTCAGCCTGGAGCTGCTGGCATGCTGAGAGGAGGTGTGCCATGCAGACGGCGCTGCAGTACTGCAAGGGTACGAGAAGGCTGTTTAAAATGAATTAGTTGCTGATTAGTTGAAGTATTTACATTTTTCAATGTTTTTTCTCTGTAAAACAGAGATGAAACCAAGACGCCCACCGCAGGTTTACCTAATTTTTGAGGGTTTAGAACCTCTTACCTTCACTAATGTGTTTCCCCGCTGGGAAAAGAGCCTGGGACTCCATCCACAGGTAAAAACCCCATGCACTTATCTACACTTCACTGTTTCTAGTGTAGATATTCAAAGTGTAATACGTAACATTTCTACATTAAAATGTTTAATCTCTAGACCTATCTTTTATATTTTGTTGAGTTTTGTTACGTTATCCAAGATGTCATAAGTTGTTTTAATCACCAGCTTTGTTCTATGTATTTTTCCATGAATGTCTGTGTAAGGGTGATGCGGGGCGGGTGAAGACCCAGTACCCTCTGGAGGAGCTGCTGCAGAGCCCCCTGCCTGAAGGAGTGGACCCCCAGCGCCTGGAAGTCTACCTGTCTGATCAGGACTTCCAGGTAAACTGATGGAGCAATATGCAGTGATGTCTTTTAACCAGCAGGCTGCAGTGTTATCCAAATGTTTTACAAATAAAAATAGATGCTCTCATCTTTTTAATCTGATAATAAATGATTTAGAAGTTTTGTCTAAACTTTAACATTTATATTTTATTTTATAAAATGATTTCCCCAGTAAACAAATCACTACAATTATGTTTCAGACTATTTTGCAAATGAAGAGAGATGAATACGCTTCCCTCCCAGACTGGAAGCAGATTGATCTGAAGAAAAGCAAAGGGCTGCTTAGCTAGACAGCGAAAACAAATGGAGGCTGACTGATGCTCCTGCAGCAGGGACTTCCTCCTCCACTGAGAAGAGAAGATGGCAGGGGGGTATTAGCACCGCGTTGCTGCACAAAGGACTGCTCACACTGTTATTAAAAAGAGGAAAGAAATTAACTTTTATTTATGTCAAACTAGTATGAGTGTTTGGACTTTTTATCAGACATGAATTTCTCTGTAGCTATTGTTCAGAGCAAAAAACAACACACATTTTCCTATTAAAGTAAACTTTATCTGTACAAATCATTGAAAGATATAAAGAAAATGTGTGAGCGAAGGACATCAGTAACAAACTGTGGAATAAGGATAAGAAAACAAAGGAATACATACAAAAAAATCAAGAAAAAAAAGAATAAAAGGCTAACTACTTTTAAAAAGGTTTCCTCCTCGATTGAGATCTTTCCATCAAAATATCTCTGCATGCTCGGAACTAAAGTTTTGCTTAATTTCAGTTTATAGATTTTCAGCTGCTGCTTCTCTTCCTGATTGTCACTACAATCTTAAAAACAGTGTATTTGACTCCTATGATGTGTATTATACAGTCGTAAGAGCTACTGATGTGTTCATTTGTCTGCCTGCCTTGTGTGCACAAAGGTTTGTGCCATGTGTATTTTAGCTTAAGCCCATGTGTTCATTGTTGCTGTGGGTAATGCCTTATTAGGACTCCTTGGGGATTCAGTATTAGCTATGCATGGGGGAGCAGGTAGACATGCTCCAATAACATCCCTCTGGCCCCAAACACCACGCTAATTCTGCTCCACCTCAATCACCACGCTGTTCACAACACCCCTCCTAACACAAAAACCTATAAAGACATACTGCATCTCTATTGTGTGTGAAAGCTCAATATTTCTGATAATGGTAACACTGAGCTGATGGTGATTAAAAATGTGTTGATGTACTTTGGTGTAATATCCTATTTCCTGGATGAATCTAAATAGAATCTTTAGCTTAAATTCGTATAAAAAAAACCCACCTTTTTATTGTCAAAATAAAAAAAACAAATGTTTCTTGGCTCACTGTTGTCTGCAATCATTTACAACTTAGCTGCTCTGTGAGGCTAAGCTAAATGCTAACATCAGCATGCTAACATACTCAAAATCAAACTGATGTAAATTGGTAATGTTTACCGTAGTTGTGTGTTAGCGTGCTTACACATGCTAATGACAAAGTACAGGCTGATGGCAATCTCAATACTTTTCAGGTATTTGATAATAAATACTGGAAGTATTTAAAATCAGCTTGTCTACTAAAACGTATCTGATTAATTGTTTGTGGTACATGGATGTCTGTTCCAAATGTTGTAGCTATCCAAGTTGTTTGGATACTCAAAACTACAAATGTTGACCTGCTTGTGGCGCTAAAGAAAAGGTCAGGGGATCAACAAAGTAATTAGGATTCATCCTCTGGGAACCATGATATTCTGTCCACATTTGTATCCTAATCCAGGGAGTAGATATTTCTATGTGCACCAAAGTGGTGGTTATTCATCCATCACAGCCTCAATTAATCCTAATACAATGCAGCAATGGGACAAATGGGCTTTTCTCGAGTGGAAAAAAAACCTCCTGTGTTGCTGACGTGGCTAAAACTGATGCTGTTGTGTGATTACAACTCTCAAACCGGCGATTTCTGAGTTAGGTAAGACGATCTGAGGGATGTTTTAGATTTAGAGCAACCACAAGTCATGTGTGAGCTCGACAAATTGTAAATAGGTAAGGTTGTTCTTCCATTGGTCCACTGAGTAGGAGCCCCTTTGGGTTCACTGGCTAACTGGATGTTATTTTTCTCAGAATGGATTAGCTGACTAAGCCTTCATGTGACTGTGCAGTGCTGGCAAGATTGGATTTAGGCCCACTGCTGGGTGATGGCGCACTTGAGAAAGACATTTCCAAAGGCCTTTTACTTGCAGGCATCTAAAACAGACCAACTCTAGAAAAGGGTTACATACTGAAAACTACCTGAATCCTAATGTCTTTGCAGCCATTATGTAGCTGGAGTGAAGGCACACATTGTATGCTGTTTTTGGTGAAGATGTGATAAAGAAACGATTTCCAAGGTGCTTTTTCTAAAGTTGAAATGTAAAAATGAGGAGTCCCTGCATCAATCAGCGCAACCTTAATCATTTGGGTTTGATGGTGAGTTTGTGAATCGTGCCTTTCCAACACTCATATTCAATATCAAGTGAGTACGGCAGAAAATTGACATATTTTCATGCCCTTCATTTTTATGTCCGTTTCTGTGTTTAGATGTCTAAATGGCCTGTTCTCTTTGTGCATCATGTCCGAGTATGAATCGATCCGGTTCAGAGGCCAGTGCCGCCTCACGCAAAACCACCATGTGATCTTCGGCTGCGTTGAGTGACTGGTCGATCCAGTCCATACTGCCGGACATGTGACAGGCGTTGCGGGTGACCAGCACCAGGTGGCTGACTGAAAGAAGGAGAGCTGTAGCCCTGAGGAGGAAAATGAAAAATGGGTTTGATTTAACTTTTTTTGTTGCTGGGTGAGATGCACTGATTCCCAAAATCCTTTTTAAAATGAAGGAAAACTGGATTAGAATGGGTCTGTTGGGCTGAGCCAGATTGCATAACTTTACATTTGTTTTTTAAGGCACAAAATATTTGATTTTGAAGGTTTTTCCCATAGCATCAATTTGCAGTGACACTTCACATTAGCTGTCCCTATCGCTGCATAAATCAAAGGTTATTTCATTATGGATACATCGAGTCATGTGGTCTTCTCCAGCTCTTATAGGTCAATCACGGTCACAGGCCTTTGCATAAGGTCATCAACGTCATACAAAGAAGCTGATTTTATGGATGGGAAAACAAATGTGATTACCTGGCGTCCAGGAGGATTGGATCCAGAGGCGGGTACATGGACCTGACCACGTCGTCCACCCTGTGAGGAAAGGGGACAGAGAGGATGTGAGGTTAGCCGGAGCCAGTACTGTGTTCATAGCAGAGGTGGAAGTAATACATGGAACATTTATTGAAGTAAAAGTACAGTCCCACAGTGTAGAAAAACTATGTTAAAAAGTCCTTAATTAAAAAGTATTATCATCCCAAAACACTTAAAGGTAGGGTAGGTAAGAATGGAGAAACCAGCTCGAGTAAGCTAGAATTTGAAAGTACACAACTGAAAAAAATCTGCCCCTTCCTTCAGACTTCACACACGAACGCGCACATGACCAATGTGGGCACGAGATAAGTTTGTGCACGAGATGGAAGGCTGACAGGCAGGTAGGCCATCCAATTATCTGCCGTGGGCCGAGGCAGATAATGGACTTGCTTTTTACAGCCCCACGGCTTCCACAGATGAAATATTTGTATATATTTATTGTCAAAGCATTTAATTTATTCATTGCTATCGCGATGTTAAGAGCATTCCATGGAATATAACAAAAAGTGTTTCTAAAAGTGTTTCTATCTTTAAAATATCAACAGTAAAATAACAAATGTTGATGTATATTATGATACTGAATCACAATTATTGAAGCATTAAACTGTTCATTACAGTGGGGAAATGTTTTGAAACACTTCCAGATAGTTTGTGAATTTACCAAAGGATTAGTAAAGTGTTATCTTACTTATTCAATACATCATCATTGAGTTGATGAAAAGATTTTGTATAAAACATTTTGAGTTTTCAAAGTAACTAGCAACTGAATATATTAAATATCATACCAAGTACCTTAAAATAGTTTTTAAGTAAATGTCCTTAATTACTGGTAAATGCGCGTTACCTCGGGCTGATGCGTTTGGCCACACTGATGATGTCACTCAAGCTTGCCGGTGCCTTGACCTTTGCCCCTGAACCCATTGTCATAGCAACCAGCTTTTCAGTCAAAGTGTGGCAAATCTGTAGATGGAAATATAACGTGTTAGTTTAGGTAAATAAATAATATAGACTAGAAGTAAAGTAAAGACTTGAGTTACCTTTAGGATTGAGATACAATGAGAGACCAATCCACTGTGGGAGAAACATTCAGAGAATTAGGTAGAATCAAATACTCAGGTAATTTACTTAAAAAACAGCGATACCAGTGTACCACAAAAAAAATACCCTATTGGAGTAAAAAGAGTAACCTAAAGTAGGGCTGCAACTTACAACTTATTTGCTTATGAATTGTTCTTCTGAATATTTTAGAATTTAATCGATTGGTCTATAAAATGTTTTAAAAAAGTGAAAAATGTTGAGGCAAAAACAAAAATACATTAATAACAAATATAATTCCCACCTGTGGATCAATTAAGTCTGATGTTTATCTATAATAACATAACATACTTTATTTGTTGGTTTAGTATTGTATTGTTAATTGTAATACTCAAAGTAACTAATGCCATGTAAAATATTTCCCTCTGAAATAGAACTGAACATGCAAGTACTCAAGTACCTCAAAACTGTACTTTTGGCAGTACTTGGGTAAATGTGCTGAGTTAGCAGCAGCATTTGAAGACTTAACCTAAATGTCTAAAACTTTAAACTTATGTCATGCCACAATGGCACCAGTAAGACGTACGAGGCGTCCTCTATCCAGTCCTCGTTCTCCAGGATGGCCTCGATGTGCGGGTTGGTGATGACCACATCGTCCAGCTCCAGCTCCGACTGCTCGCTCTGGGTCTCCATGGCTCCAATCAGATCCACTGTGGGTCTGTAAAACAGAACAGGGAAACCAGAGGAGGCACGGCTGGATTACCAACCAGCAAGTCACAGTTAAATTACCTTTACATTTGCTGTGGTTAACTGATTAAAAGCAAGTTTATTGACTGGAAATGTGCATGAGGATATCACGTTTTAGTGTTTTAACTTGTTATCACATAGTATAAAGGGGTCTTTGAGCACACAATACAGGTTTCTGTTCTAATTTCAATATTTGTCCTGGCAGGTTGTGGATATCAATATTTAAGATGATTATCTTTTATTAGCACAACAGGTGTATAATAAACAAAGCTAACAAAACAGCCTGATTTTGTTGTTGTTGATTGAACAAACACTAATCAAGGTGTAACGCATATCAATTAGATGAAAAAAAACACTGGAAAAAAGAAAATGAGATGTTAAATGTTGAAATAAATGAGTCCAACTGAGGTTGAATGGTACACAAATGGAGTGCCCCTGTGGCTTAAAGGATTTAAGAAGCCAACCATGAAGTGCAAAGTCCCTGTTTGAGGTCTTTGTTACATTTCTCTGCCTCTTTTTGTGGCATTTCTCAACTATTGCTAATTAATAAATGCCCATAAACTACTAGTGCTAAAAATTGTGAAGCCAACCCTAATCGTTTAGTACAAACAGTATGTAGGCTAGCAGTGGTTATATTTTATACTAACTACAATTTAAGACTCTAAAATCTGATAGAAGTTAAAACTCTTTCTAGTTCAAATGTCGAGGCTTTGTATTGATTCACTGACTTGGTGTCGAAGGGGTGCAGCAGGTGGTGAGGGTGGCAGTAGCGATGTCTGCACACCACCACAAGGGCGACGAAGGAGGCCAGGAAAATGGTGGCCAACACCCCAATTGCCACGATCACCACTGTCTCCATGGCGACTCCAGCTCCCACAGCAGCTGCAGGCAGCAACTTGTTTGAGAGGAAGAAAGTCCAATCAGGGTTGGCTGATTGTCCGAGCTTGATTATGGATGGCCGCTCATCTGTCGAGGAGAGAAGAATGGCTGGTTTCAAAGTGATTGGGTGACATCAAACTGGAGAAGAGGAATATCATCCCTGTACTTGAAGATACTTGCTAGATTTCTCCTGATTTTCACTTCTGTTGAAACACAATTCCCCTCTGAGCCAATGGAAAGAAGGATACAATCAGCAGTGTTTCTGAATGTGGCACACCTACAACACACAGCTGATCTTTATCTGAGTACATAAAAGCTGAAGTGCACTTGCTCTTTGTTTGCATGTCATACGGGGTAATGAGAACACAGTGTTTGCTATACAGAGACTTTCTTTGTGAAAGCAGGGCAACGACAACTCACAACAAATATTATACTATTATTGAACTTTAACAAGCAGCCAAAAAGTCGAAAAGTTTGAAAACTGTGTGAAGATTTCCTGTTTCCTCTCACTTTGATTAACAGCTCCAACAATACACACACACATCTAAACCGCCTGTCTATACCTGAACAAAGAACTAAACTCTCATAAACTTTGACCTCTTACCATCTGATGTTTTCAGTCCTGGCTGAAGTATTCTGGATTATCTGCAGTTTAATTCAGGTGACATGTTCCCACATTTACCCTTTCGTTGAGAGTGTAAAGTATAGCTGCCCTCTGCTCGGTTTTGTCACTCATTAACCCGCCCTGCCCCACCTGATCACTCATAGAGGATGGGAGTAAACTCTCTGCCAGAAAGCCGTCATTGGCTCCCCGTTCTCAAGGTACAGTAAAGTATAATTGATTTGTAATGATGCCTGCCATTATGAACAGTGTTCACTGTTACATGACTGCAGGGCAGCTGAACTTTCAACATTACAACATTGTAAACCTACATTTTTTTGCCCGGATGATTATGTGAGATTCTGCATTGGAATGCTGTAATTCTTTAATCTGATTAATTTGTGTTACACTCGCCGTAACGCACAGAGCTTTCTCCTGTCTCTCTCCTGCCCCAAAGCTTTCCTGACTCCCTTTTCTTTTCACAGGCCGGAGTGTAAGAAATCCTGAAATGTCTCTGCTAAAATAAAACAGATACAAATGTTTCATTGATATATTTCAGGAAACAAAAAACAACAGGGTTTCACCTTAAACCTAACTAAGCTGATTTCACTGCAGAGCAAACTGCTTGTCTTAAGTTGTTGAAAGTAACTGAGTGAATTTAGTTAGGTCCAACTTTGAGGTACTTTTTGCCTAATTTACATGCTCTGCTATTTCATACTTCTACTTCTCAACATTTAAAAATGAAATAATATACTTTTTACTCGACTAAATCTATCTGATAGCTATAGTTACAATGCAGAGTCAGATTTGACATTAAACACATCCCTTATGATCTGATTACTCGCTTGACCATTGCACTAGATTACATTACATTACATTGCATTTAGCTGACGCTTTTATCCAAAGCGACTTACAATAAGTGCATTCGACCAAGAAGATACAAACTTGAAGAAAACAGAATCATATAAGTACATCAGGTTTCATAGAGCCAAAATATTTCAAGTGCTACTCAACTAGCTTTAGATAAGCCAGTCCTTTATTAGTATATAAGTGCTTTGTTAGATAAGACTAAATAACAGTAAATACACTATTACAATTCTTTAGATAACTTTTTGTCCATTATACATCTGAGTATAATAATTGTAATTGTATGTCTTTACTGTTGCTACTAAAGGAAAGTATCTTCATAGTTATCAGACCATTTCAAGTACTGATCACAATAGTTTCTGCAAGAGGATAAACCACAAACTAACATAAAAAACGAAAGGTAAAAAAGTTAAAGCGACTAAATCATCAATGTATTGGTTTTAATGGTCTGTATGCTGAGTATTTACCACACACAAAGGTTTATTAACGTGGGTCTAGGTTAAACAAATCCCTATTCTTATCTCTACAAATTTGCGGAGAGCAACAACACAGGCACAAAAAAAGGGGGCAACCAAAGTTCATTATTTCCCCTAAAATTGTTTGTCTAATAGAAATACTGGCGCTCGCTCACAGTAACGCATCCGCACATATGTAAAGTTTGTATCTGTACTTCATGAACACAGGCAGTTTCTACACTTATACATCAAAACCATAGCACACAGTTTTACTTAAAGTCTACTGAACTTTTCCTAACGTTACATTTAAATGTACAACACGTTACTTACACGTTGATAAAGCAAAGAAACAATCGATTACTTACCTAAACATTTTGTTCTTTTAGTTGAATTCCTTTTAGGAGACAAAATACTTTCCTCTGCGCCACTAGGCGCGCGGAGACGGCACCGACATCTCCCAATCTGGGGCGTGGACGCGCACGGCTGACTGATGATCAGACCAAACCTCCCAGCGCGCGCCTCTCCAGTCCATCCATTATGCTGGAGCTGTGTGATTGAAGCATGCCTTCGCTGCTATGTTTGTTAATGTTGCTAGTACATTACAGTGTTCCAAATAAAACACACACAGGTGGATACAGTTAACGCTAGGTGGCGTACGCTAAACGCCATAATGCTTGGTTTTCATCATATGTGGGAGAAGGTAAAGCCATAATGTCAGTTCTTAATGTTTCAATGGTTTACTGAAGTTACATGTCGAGCAGGTGGCAAATTTAAGCTAAAGTAGCAAACACATGCTAATGCTAAATGTGACATGTCTAAGTAAATGCGACTATCAATGGAGGGAGAAATAGTTATTCTCTTCTTATACCTAATTAAAAGTAGCAATACTGCTCTGTAAAAATACTTTTGACATGCATTTAAGAACTTGCTTAGGTAAAATAAAAAATAAGCATAAACGTCAAATAAATAAAGATGAATAGCCTACATGTTGGGCAAAGATATACAATTGTATTTATCTTACAATTGAAACATTACTACTGATGCTTTAAGACTCAAGCAACATTTTACTGATAGGTAAAGGTGGAGTACCTTTTTAACTAACTTTGAACACATTGAACTTTTTACATCTACAGTTCCATTTAAACAGGGTAACATACTACATCTGCCTGTGATAGTAGGATATAAAGCTCAAGAACAACTACTATGTAAATGGCCAGTAAGTTAAGATGGTTTGGCCCACAATTTTCCTCTCAGTAACTCAAAAATAAATAAATAATAATCACATTTGTGAATATAATTAGTTTGACATGCAAGTGTGTTACAATGTCCCGTTAGCCTGGTGTTAATGTGATATTCCTTCTATTTTGCAGAGCTTTGAGCATGGGTCTACAGATGGATGAGGTGCTGCAGGAAATAGTCAGGAATACATCTTAAAGAGGTACAGTATGACCCTTGCATACACTGTGCTTTTTCTCATACTAATGCCCTACATCCTGGTTTCCCTGCGTGTGCCGCTCTGCTGAGGCAGATCCACACCACCCGCAGAGATAATTATCCCCTCTTAAACTGAGCATAAAAGACGGGTACCTGAGCGCAGAGCCTGCACAAGCTGCTTACTGTTTGAGCAGTCCTGCCAATCTCAGGGATGCATCATTAGGTGTGTCTGTGCAGTATTCTGGAGCAGGAGCCCATTTTTGAAGTTCGACTTGGCACAAGAATGGATCCCAGAATAAAAAATATACATGTCTTTTTAAACAACGCCAGCTTGGATTGAGAACAGAGGTCTAGATTCTCAAAGTTCCACTGAAACCTTTTCATCTCAAAATCGTGACCGCCATTATAAATATTTCTACTTTTGCTGCTCACAGAAAAATTCACCCTTTCATCAACCTTACATGAGGGTAGTAGGGTATCTTTATCCATATATAAATGCAGTGCTCTAACATCTACATTATATTTTAGAGGGAACTTGACAGAGTCTCCTCTATTAGTCTCTGCTCACCTTTGTTAATCACAATAAGAGCTTTGCATTGCAACTAGGTAAGACAGGTGAGTGCTATCCAGTAGGAGTATTGAGCAGAGCAGGGCTATCAGCTGGTAATGGTCGATTCCTCCTGAGAGCGATCCTGTCATGCTGTAATTCAACTATTAGCTGTCCTTGATCCTACCGAGTTGGCCGTCAGGAGTCTAGGTTATGAAAAGGAATGTATTTATTTAGTACACTGAGTTCACAAAGAAACACTTTATTCATGGTAGAATGTTTTTTTTCTTTGTAGAAATAGTGGCCTTAAACAGCAAACACACAGGTCTTTACAAGTCACCAAGGATGTTTTCATTGAGAAATACTGCAAGATAAAGGAATGATTGACACTTTTGGCAGCATCAATTGTTGGATCAGGAACTGTTTGAATTAGCTGATTGTTAATGAATAAGAATGCAGAGGAAACATAAAACCCAGCACCAAAGCTATCACTAAAACATATGTACAAATTATATAAACAGCAGAGAAACAAAGTATTAATAAAAATGCTTAGGGTTGTTGCATCTCCTCAGGATTTTTCTTATTGTTGTAAGAAACAAACAACATTAAACACCAAATGTAATGAATAATATAAACAACATAATTCTGCATATAGCTATAGCTGTGATGATTTGATACTGAACTGAAAATCCTTAATTGGGTGTTTCACTGTTTGACTAAATAAGTTATTTAATTATGTGAGTGCTGGCTCATTACAATCCGTGATTTCTGATGTTTTACAATAAAAAGATTACATATGAAATGATTTGGCAGATTGATAACATGCATGCGTGATATTATATTTATGTAATTTGTGCACAGTAAAAAAAGAAATCACAACATAGTCCTTCCACTGAGGGGCAGTGATATGTAAGTTACAGAGTTTGGGGAAACATTCATTATAAATAAGGAAGAAGCCAGTGGTCCTATGGCTACGTAACAGGTGGAATTTTCTTGTTGAATCTGATGTTTCCACACCAAGCAGACACAGCTTAACAGGAGCAGCCTTTAGTATGTTGGCAGGTTTACCCACCAGCCATAATTGGAACCAATGGATTGTATAGTAACAGAAATGTCCACCTGTTGTCTCCTCCAGAACCTGTGAGAGACAAACTGGTGTGCCAGCTGCTGAGAGCTGCTGTCGACAGGATGCAGCAAATGATGCATGGTTTCCCTACAACTCTTTATTTCACTTCACATTATCCTGGGCATGCTTCTCACAGCATGGGTGGACTCATGACAGGCTGAGTTAGTGCATGTGCAGCTTTGCTTTGCTCTTAATATGGATTGCTTGAGTAAATATCACAGGGCCGTGTGCCTTTTGACTGATGGATGTGGAGGGAGGAAGCGGCCTGGTTTACCGTCCCTGTGGCCTTTCATGACATCTGTGGCCCTGTGCAGCTCCGCAGGCGGCAGGGGAGTTTACACATCAAGTGTGTGTATGTGTGATGGGGTGTCTTTCTTTAACAGATGGCTGAGGATGGCCTTTGAGAAGCGGTGGATCTAGATCAGCACTCAGATGATTTATCTATTTCTTGCTTTCTCTTAATCAGAACCAGTGGCAAACATTCTTTTCTGTCAGTGCTTGACAACAGTCTTTGCGTTTCCTGTTGTTGACAGAGTGGCAGGCAGCACAAATGTATTTGTTCTCAGCCTGCCTGGCAGGTGTGGTCGTTTAAGCGGAAAATCAATCAACTTTAACAATTTCTTCCCATCTTATTTCACATTATTTTGATGACTACGGTTCCTATTTAATTAAACGCCCAACGCTATATAAAGTGATGGTTCCAGCCTTCAGATGTTATCAAGTGTTTTCTATGTTCTTCATTCACCTTGCCTGAATTCACCCTCTCTCTCTTATTCTCTTGTATGGGTTTTATGCTTGACTTATTAAAACAGGAGACAGAAAAATGAGAATATGTTTGTTTGAAAATAAAAATGTAGGAATTGTTGTCATCTCTTCCAAACAATATATTGGAAAAATATTTATCGGCCAGTCTGCAGAGAGAATTGTTGTTCAAGCCCATACAGTATACAAGGTTCAAGGTAGAATAATAATGTATTGTCAAGTCTACACAACAAAATGCATTCTTAGCCTATTGCAATATAGCTACACACGAAGGCATGACAAAGTACCCCCTATTGTATTCTCTTTGCCCATCTTGTGTGTTTTGCGTGGGTGGCTTTGCTTCCCAAATTTGAAAAGAAAACGTTTTGTTGTATCTGTTTTATCAGCACTCACACTGAAGCTGGAGGCAAACCATGACAACACCATCTGTATCAGAAACTCAGGAGAAGCGCAGAGACAACAGATGCGGTCCAAGGCAAAGGTAAGATAAAAGTACTAAAAACAGAAACGGGTAAAAAAATCAATTTCTTGTTTCTAAATTTGGTTTGGTTTAGACCAAAACTCTGACGCCGGCAACATCCCCACATGGAGTGAATTCTCTGTGCCCTGTTACATGAAATTGATCTGGAGGTTAGCACGAAACATCCCTTGTTTGATTTGTATTTCACATGTACAGTTTTACACCTTGTGGTTTGTCGAACATCGATTTTCTGCAACATCATTAATCTCGAATGAGCACACATGGCTAGAAACAAACCTCAGCATGCCTGCCACAGATGGCTGCGCTATTATTCATCTACTTCTCCATAATCCAATAAGATAGGATTCAAGTGTAGCATAAGTTGAGTGATGTGTGGAGGTCGGAGAGAGCGGAGAATGTGCCTAGGGAGATGATATGTGACCTGTATCCAGATAATCAGAAATTGAAGAAGCGCACAATGCCTACCAAAAAAATGTAGTTCTTTACAAGAGGAATCATTATCCATGTAAAATACATGCTGACCCAAGCCTTTTTGGAAACTCAAAAAATGGTAAGATAACCCAAATCTCTAAACTTGGTATAATGACTCTAAACTATAATGACTATAAATGTGTTTCATATAACATATTTGGTGAAGTACCCCAGATTTTCCTTTTGTTAAAGAGCTGGGTGACCCAACTGCCAGAATGTCCTCCCAGCTGACATGTTGTGCTTTTGGTCACGACAATAAAATAAGTCAATGTTTGGGTGTACCCCAGGAATATTTCGCTCTAAAAGGATGTGGGAACAAAATAAAACAATACCCCTATTGTGGAAAGTCTCTATAGGAGTAGACAGATGTTGAACTGTTTTCCATGGACATCTGACCTTTACAAAATGAAATACAGATTGTTGTTATTTTTTGATGGTGCTAACAGACAGCTGTGGGGTTGTGAAGTATGGTTGCAGCTCGCCAGAAACAAATCAATCAAACAAATCAGCTTCGGTGACGAATGGATGGCTAGTTACTATAGGTAACTTCTCCTTCTCCCGTGCGGCTGTGAGTGACCGTAGCACCCGCTGCTGTTGCTGGCCATAAGCTTGCCGTTGGGCTCAT